GAGGGAAAAAAAGGACTATTGAGTTTCATCTTATCGTCTAAGATCAGTGTCCCACCATCAACACCCCCGACCCCCCACACCCTCTGTTTTATCATCCATATAAGTCTGCCCAAACCGGTCATCTGGGACTCAGAATAAATCGGTGAAGATATTCCGAAATGGCCTCCCAGTGCCTCCACAGGAAGGCCAGGAGGATTACGAGGAGCACCGTGGAAAGTGTGCGGCTTCTCGTTTTCATCAGAGGAACGACACAGTTCGCCACAGTGGACACGAACACCAGAAGGACCGCCATGACGGCTAGCAGCACGTTGATGAGTTTCCCAAGAAGAGTCCGCGCCGTGGCGTTCTCCAAACCCTCCAGCTGCACCACCTGCTGCTGTTGCTGCTGCAGCTCCATCTTGGAAATGCGCGTCTGACATGCCTCCAGTGCCTCCTGCAGGTGAAACACACAAATGTCGGTCAAATGACTCACACAGGCAGACATGTTGCACTAGTGGCTTTAGTTGCGCTTGGAGGTTTACAGGTTTCTAAATTCTTGATTCTAAAGAGAGAGATTTGGGTCTGGAAGGTAGTGTAAATAAAAATATAAAAATCCAAATAAAATCGCAGGCTTACTTGAATGTCTCTCGCTCGTTCGTAAGACTGATAAGCAATCTTCTCCTCCATGCTGGCTAGCTCCTGTTTCAAGTTCAGAATTTCATTCTGGTGCAGTTCCGTCAAGTCATTCAGCTGTTCTTCCAGACGTTCACACCTGAAACAAACCACCAGTGAAAACAACAAGGCGTGAGAATTGGTCCGTACCACACGGACCACGTGAACCTCTGTACGTTAGCCAGGAAATGTTCACCTGTATCGCTCCTCCTGTAAAGCCTGCATGATCACTGTGTATTCACGCTGGTAGTGGACCTTTAAGCTCTCGAAGGACTCCTCCAGTCGACCCTGGTTCTCCCGCAGCTCTTGAATCTCATGAAGAACTGCTTCCAGGCCCGAGGCCTGGGGCTGTTCCAGGGTATTGCCTTTAGAGCTCGGTGGACCCCCGGGGGCGCCGGTGGTGCTGTTAGCCCCGGCGGAGCCAGATGTGGCGCTAGAACAGTCGTCATCGCTGCCGTACTTTGGGCTGGACTGTAACTGTCCTGCCCCGAGGGACCTCGTCGTCCCGGGACCGACACCTTCGTCTCCTGTGGTTTCATCTAGAGAGTCCTTCAGGGCTGCGATGTTGTCGGCACTGCCAAATCTGTTCCGGATGAGGGAGGCGATTTCTCTGGGCTTTGACACCACAGCTCCAGCAGCAGAATGAGTGGCCTGTGAGAAGCTGGATAAACCGCCAGTCACCTGTGAACAGAGACAACAGCCAGGCTAGAGCACAGTGCCCCCACAGGCAAGGAGGACACACCTAGTCCCTAGTCGTCCACCCACTGACAACAGCTGAAGTCCAGTATTTCCTCACTCATCAGATGGACAACACTGTTAAAAAAAACAAAGGAACACACCTTGGCTCCGACGTCCTTCAGCCCCTGGTGCATGTCTCGGAAAACGTCTTTGGGTTGCCGAGGGATGCCGTTGTGCTCCACCTCCCGTAGCTTCCTGTGGTAGTGCTCCAGCTTCCTCTGCAGCTGCTGGATCGTCTGAGCTGACTTTTGGTTCTTCTTCTCAAACACCTGCTTGATGCGTGCACTCTGTTGTTTGTCTGCGTTGTTGGCCAGTTTCAGGTATTCGGCGACGTTGTCGTCCCGTGCTGTTTGTTCGATTTTGATTTGTTCCGTGAGCTTGAGGATCTTCTGTTGTAGCTGGGCGATAGCTTGCTTGGTGCGCTGAGGGTCCGGGGTGCTGTCCACGACATCGTAGCCGTCCACGCCATAGGGGAGGGCGTTAGGTGACACTGCAGGGCCTGATCCGTCGTATCTTTCCACCTGTTTAAGCCAAAAGAGTTCAGGTTATTCCAGTTACAGTCTTTATGTTTGCTTTCTTTTTTCCATTCTTTCTTAGTCGTTCTGTACGTTTTGTCGCTGATTTTCAGGATAGTGAAATGTTTACGACACCTATGAGGAACTCTTTTGTCTTGTCCTCTTGTTTCACCTTGGTCTGAAGACTCCACTTGACAAATACTGTCTTATATCAGATCAGTATCAAAATACAAACACAAAATATGGTGCACTGAACCCCATAAACTGTCTTTATAACACAGCAATTATGACATTTATTTGAGTTGTGTTTATCCCTGCGAGCCCCTCTGACCTGAAGTACACTCTCACACACACACTCACACACACAGTCAAAGCTATAATTAGAATGGCTTAAAGCTCATAGTGACAAACACTCAAAGGTAATCTGTGACCTTCCGACACTGACAGCTCTTCTCCCTCATTCATCACTTCATCCTGGCTCATCTTTTAACCACAACAACCCCCCCCCCCCCCCCCCCGGGTATGCCTGCAAAACTCAACAACTGGTTTCAGTAAAGTAAGGTCTTGATAACAGCGACGACCTAAGAAAATGTAAAAGTCGTCACTTTAAAGTAAACCGATTTATGATCGAAGCAGGAAAACAGTTCACTTTAATTCTGCAAAGTAATTCCCGTCTGAAATCAGACACGTCCAAAAAGACCGCTACGTCACGCCGCTGCTGCGACTTGTTAAGCGAATGGCCGTCCATCGTAAAACACTGTGACAGAGCAGATCAACCAGTTATCAGGTGTCATTTCATATCAGTTACGGGAGTTGCCCAGTGTGAGGGCGCTGCAGCGCAGCCAAGGATATGTTTCAGAGCAGTGCGTCACGGTGGCCGTCCGCTGGTGTGCAGTGGAAACAGGAGGCAGGCATGTCCGCTGATGGATTCTCATCTATGCAGGAATAAACAGACTGGTACTTGTGTTTCAAAAGAGGTGAGAGGAGGAGACTTGGAGGAGGAGATTTATGTGGTTCCTGCACTGCATCAAACTCTTCTTTAAAGAACAGTTTGTTCTTTGGTGAGGCCCAACAGTAGTTTCTAGATAATGTTTCTGGGGCTGCACAGCAAAAATGTAGGTCTGTTACCATCTGCTAAAGGAGGCAGACGAAATATCTGTGCTGGAGTCAAAGGGCAGAAACCACGGCTGACTGACTTCTCTTGGGCCGTACTGCGTAAGAAATGACTTTGCTGCTGTAAACAACATCACCGGATTGGCACAAAACTGTCTTTGTAATATTTCAGTAAGACAACGCCAGGCCTTGTTATGAGCTAATTACGAAAGTGTTGCTTTGAGACCAAATTTGCATCAATGTCTGATCTGCCTTCAGTCCTGTCCTGTCTCCTCTGGAAAATATGTAAAATTATTTCTGTCTATCACTCCATTCATCCATCCAAATAATTCCGACTCACCTTGTCAGACTCCTCAGTCGACTGGTAACCAGAGGTGAGCAGCATGTCAGTCAGGGCTGGGCAGCTGGGCGTGTCAGTAGTTGAGGATGAGCGCGGGCGCCCAGCCTGCAGTAGGGCCTCATGGGTACTGCGTCTGTGGATCTGAGGACTTCCTTTCTGAGGAGCATCCCCGACGCCCGTGGCCTTGCTGCGGCGGCTTTGCAGGCTGGTGCCTCGCTTCATCATTGGTGGACCACTTCGGATTTGCTGCAGAACACGGCTCAGAGCTGCAGGGGGGGCGGAAGCGGCAGTGTTGTCAGAATCCGAAGAGGGGGCCGAGGAGGCAGGAACGTCCCCTACTTCTGACCCTACATCAGTGGGTTCGGAGGGAGGGGCGCCCGTGCAGGACGAGGCGGAGTCGTGTGGGGAAACGGAGGAGCGTCGGCGCTGTGGCTGGAAGAAGTGCTTCAGGCCATGGCCCAACGCTCCCATGTTCTCCAGGGCATTACGGGGTATTTTGGACTCCGACGCCCTCCTGCCGACCTCCGGCTCTGTTCGGCCTCCTGTGTCCGGCTCCTCTGGACTCTGTTCACTACTACCCTGATCCATCAGAGACCTCCAGTTTCACAGTGGAGTTCTACGTGGGGGTTGCAGTGAAAAGCTGACCCTGAAGACACCACCCCCCTCTGAAAGGCTGGTTGAAAGCCGGGAGGCAGAGGGGAAGGCTCTTAGTTGGGCCTTTTGAGTGGGCATGCATCTGTGGCTTGGCTGAATGTCATGCTTTTCTACAGTCGCACAAAAAGGAAAATAAAGTGCATTATGACATGCAGCCGTGAATGGCAAACGTAAAACAAAGCAGAAGCAAAATATGAAGTAACATCGAGCGGCATGAACTGGGTTGACGGAGTCACGGCTGCAGGTTCACAACGTTTTAACAGAAACACTATTCCAATCAGATAAACAGCACCACCTGGTGACAGTGCCAACCCAGTCGCTCACTGCAAGTACATGTCATAAAAAAAAAGCATTTTTTTCAAAATGTTCTGAAATGTTGTCATCTGGTAAATCTGGGGTTTACAAATAGAACATTTCAGAAAATTTTATAAATAATAATGAATAACCGCAAAACAGAAAGAGCTGGCACAACACAGACACAAAGACTGGGTGTAAGAAATGTAAAGTGACGTCAATTGTGATTATTTTATAGAGACTTCTAAAGTCCCAGAGTCATTTCCTGTTCACGTCTTGGTTTACTGTAGGGATCATTTTTGAAGGTGAGAACTGTGACCACAGACGGCTACGAATGTACGTTCAAAGCTAACATAAATAAGGATATGCATACATATTTATATAGAGGTGTGAGAAAACATTGATACGCACATATATTGCAATATTTCGTTCCATGACACTATGTTCTACACTATTGATTTTTTTTATATCCACTTGCCTATATATACATATATATATATGTATATATATGTATATATATATATATATATATATGTATATATATGTATATATATATATCGTATCGTTGCCCTTGTATCGTGATAGTGATATCGTTTCTCCAGATTCTTGCTAACACACACACACACCCCTATATATGTATATATTTAAAATGTGTGAAAATGCAAGAGCACAAAAAGCACAAAAACAACAGATAGTGGTGGTAACTCACCATCAGCCCTGCGTGTCCTCTTCTGACTCACAACTCGGTCACAGCTAAATTAAGCAGAAACATGAGGAAATAAGTGAATTGTCCAAAACAACCACAAACTTAAAAAAAAAAAACAAAACCAATTCTGGAACATGTTTTGAAAGCAAATAAAAGAGAAACCACATCTTAAAGTCCAACAAAAAAACCAAAACCAATTCAGGAACATGTTTTGAAAGCGAATAAAAGAGAAACCACATCTTAAAGTCGTGAATGTAATTAATGTGGTGAAAACGTCCTCTGTGAAAAGTCAACCTGTCTTTGGTTTAACACGAGTATCATTTTTGGAATATAGATTCAAATTTAACAGCGCCTCCATTGGCTGGTCCCATCGTCGATCAACTCGCAAACATTTTCAGCATCACATCACATTTCCACTTGTTTCGTTTATCTCCAAGTTACCATTTTAACCCAACAGATTCACATGTTTCCCCTGAAACATAAAGAAAATGTCCAAAGCATAACGTGAGAGTTTGACTGTGTGATACATGACTGAAGAGAAATGATTCTGTGAGATGAGTCAGCAAAGCTCCTGAGGTATCACTTAACAGTCCAAAAGTACAATCTTCAGCACAAATGCTCCATTAGTGATACGTAAGTGACTCGGTGCTGATCCTGCCGTTAGTGTTGGATAAGACTGCACTTTGTTAAAGAGTGAGTGGAAGAGCTGTCCCGTGTGTGTGTGTGTGTGTGTGTGTTTAAATGAAGAACTTCCTGTACAGCAGAATCATATTAGCTAATGAATTTATAAATGAAGTCAGCTGCTACGACTGTGAGTCTGTGACAAAATAAAACTACAGCTCACTGGATTTATATTTTATCTGTGAGCACCGTCCTGAAGGGGTCACAGTGGGGGTCACTTGGTGAACATCACTGCTCTCCTGCAGCAGTATCTGCCTGTCAGGCGACAGAGAAACGACATAAAGTCATACCGTACACAGAGAGTTGTTTATGAGAGAAGAGCGGGCGTTCACGCGTCTCGGTTTTCAACGAGAATTTAAAAAAGACCTGAGTTCCTTTTGTATTAAATGTCCATGATTAATAACACAGTGGACTTTACTTTGACTTCTCCAGATCCAGGACAATCCATTCTCTTTGACTAACACAACTTTATTAGTCCCCAGGGGGCAATTAGGTAAAAGCAGCTTAGTGGCAACCACAAAAACAACACATTAGTTTTCCATATCAAGTACAGCAAAATAGGAGGAATTAAGTATGGAATTTATATTTATATTTGGGGAGCAATAATTAATCTTTGATAAAATGATGTACTGATTTATTAAAATATCTATTAATAACAATGCATAATCTAGGTGTGTCATAATATTTTTTTGTATTTTAAAGCATGAGCAGAAAGATGTGTGTTGTATAGCCATAGAATTCCACAGTATTTGCAAAACACACCAACTCTTTGTAGTGACATGTAAAGTTTTTGCAAAGTATATTTCTCTTGAATGAACCAAAAATGAACAACGTGCAGCTTGACTGACTCTGAACGTACCTTTGTGTGTGTTCATCAGCAGAGTCCCGGTCTGTTGACAAACAAAGAGTCTCTGTAATCCAACGTCAGATCTCCGCCACAGTCTCTGGGTATTTGGAATGAGATGTCGTTCCAACTACGCTCCCATATTTCCCAAGACATTTAGGAAAATCACATGCTATAAAAAAAAAAAAAAAAAAAGACAACATTAAAACACACGTTTACTTTGAGTCAGAACGACGGCCTCACAGCCAACGGCTCCTGATTGGAGGTATTATGCATAAGTCTGCCCTCCATTTAAAACCCAGGTCTGAACATAATTATATAATATTGACCTTAAGTCTGCCCTCCATTAACAGGTCTGAACATAATTATATAATATTGACCATAGATTCAAACCTGTCGTCAAACGCTATTTCTGTTTTCAAAGCCCTTAGACAGCCTTCTACAGGCTGTTAAATGTTAAATGAGAAAATGAAAATACTGTGATTACACACAGTATCAGCCCCCCCTCCTCGACCCCCCCAAGGCCTTCTAGCTTAATTAATTGTCTGATGGTAATTAATAGGGCCAACTGCCCCCTGGGGATATATCTACAGGACATAGTCCATTTCCTGTCTCGAAGAGATACAGCTGAGTGACAAACGGCTCAATTAATCCACAACATGAAGACAACAGTGTATAATGGACATCATTTCTCCGTGACAGTCGGTGAATGTGGATGGAATGACTGTGTAATTTGTATAGAAACATAAATATATCCTTCTAAGCCACCCAAAAAAAAATAGCATTTTGACAGTAATATCATAACCGTTAATCAAAACTGCTGAGATCATTTACAAATCAACTGCAAACGTTCATCGAATATTGATTCAAATAGAATATTTTGATGTTATCCATGGATTCAATACTATTAATTTAATTTTACATTTGTATGATGAAATAGAATGCCTTTAAATTTACATTTGTATGATGAAATAGAATGCGTAGTTTTATCATAGTTATGTCACATATTTTATTATCTTTCCTTCAACGGTCACCACATCCAACCCTCCCTTTCCTGCACCTCCTCTGTTCCTCCTTCATTTCATCCACCAATCTTCTCCCTTTTCCTCCTCCTCCCCATCAGCTCCATCTCCAATATCCTTTGTCCAACATCTTACGCTAACCTCTCACCACAAGGTGTCCAAATTCCCTCACCCTCGCCTCTTTAACTTTTTACTACTACCTAGTATTTAGACGATGACACTGTCTCTGAGTTGTACTTCCTAGCAGGTCTAAAAGTAAATGACAACTCAGTGATATCACTGACACATCTTTGAGCCCTGACCCAGAGTTTGGTAATGACTTGTGTATTATCTAATAACTACAGCTCTATAGTCACCTCAGCCCATTGTCTAAGACCAAACTTTGTGACTTGTTATTGCGATAAACTCTCCGAACATCACTTATTATTAGGTATCATGTTGCTGGTTTTCATTGGATTGATTTATTTAAATAAATTACTCAAAAAGGTTAGAGATGCCTGACTGTCATCACATTTTTAAAGTAAAGCGTGTTTGATCGCAAAAGCCAAAGCGGAAAGTCATGAAGAAATGACAGTGTGTACATTTATGACTAATACTATGTTACTGTAGACAGTCTGAGCCCACAGGCTTAACGTTAGCTCCGGATAAGAGGAGGATGACATTAGCAGCTATAAACTCAACCACCACCGGCCTGGTCTTTGTTAAACACAGCACAACGACACATATTCGTGAAAGCATCAATGTACTTTACCACCGTAGTAAAAGATATCACGAACCGTTGCATTAGATGAAGTCAGAAGTCACCGTTGTCTCCACTTGCATGGCTTCTCTTCACCTCTAGCAGTTAGCAGCACAGGCTAAGGCGGTGCACCGGAGGGCGTTCGATTTACTGTATGGCTCGCACCGACACTGCTATGCGGGGCCAAGCCACAGTGACGTATACCTTATTCGCCGGAGCGTTAGTGTCTAATATTTCAAACTCTTTCAAAGTCTATTATTAGGTTGTGCTGCCTTCCAGATGACATTAGGTAATATTCACACTATTTAGACTGTTTCTCGAGTATTTACGCACTCGGTATTTCTTTCTTCTCAAATAATTACAGACTGAACTAGAAGAGTTTGACATGTACACAGGAAATACAGTATTTAACAGCTGCGAAATGTAGTTATACGTGTAAACAATGTACAGTGTATCTCAAATGCGCACCTTACATAAGGGTTAGCAGTTCATTGAAAGTATAGTTTGTATACATTTCTGAATAGATATAAATCATACATTATATGGTCCTTTGACTGGAAGAATGTTTTACTTCCGGGGATCTATCAAATACGTTGTCCACCAATAACATTTATACTGTTTTTTTTTTCTTGTTTTTATTTATTTTCTAAGTAACTTGAAAAATCCATGTGAAATTATTTACCGCAATATGTGCAGTAGGTGGCAGCAATGCAACTCAATGGATGGACTGTTGGTGTAAAAATCGAACAAAGCAAGAAAGCAAATGCAACTGGGCTGAATAAATAATAAATAAATAATAAATATGGAGCCAAACTTACACACCCAAAAACCAAAAAAGTGGTTTTCTTTTAACTGATGTGAAAATGTACCTATTTATAATTTATTTAGAACTTAATTATAACTTTTTACATAATAGTGCTAAGGTATTACTTGATATTAAGTACTACTAGTAGTAGTATAGTTTTACATGTATAGTTACAATAATGATATTGTGTTTGCAATTATTTTCTAATTTCTTCATGTGTTTTAAGGCAATGGGATATACAAAAAAACAGTACTGTAAATATTTAATGTTTCAGGTTGTGTGTTTTCAAGTTGAAAAATAAACCATTTGTTTTGTGTTGTCTGTGTTGTCCTGGATAATTAAGCACCGTGGACTGATGATACCCTTTGACCCTTTTAAACACATTTTTAATAAATCATTCATCCCTACTTGAATCCAAACCTCTTCAGTGACTAACTTCTTTCTCTATAATTTTTTACAGTAGATCAGTTAAGTTGTGTCACCGACACCTATTGGGTCAATTTCCCTCTAGGAAACCGTCTCTTCTGGAAACATGCTGGTCACTTACTAAATTCTAGGTAATCACAATGTGTCTTGTATTTCCTGAAGGTGTTGAACTACAGTTCCTCTCTCCTTCTCCATCCCCCCCGCCCCCAGTGTAGACTTTCATCAGAAACCACCCTCATCGTTCTATAAGTCACTTCAAGCCATGCATATTAACAAGGTCAGCTCACTGTGCCTGCCATGATGTTAGCGGCGGCTTTAGCGGACATATGGTCATATCCTGGTATGACTGATGTCAGCTCATACATACATGGGTGTTGTCTCCCAGGCTCGACCTTTACATTGTTACACAGGGCTTATAAACTGGCATTACATCGTCACTAACGTGTAATACCAAAATTGACGTCGCCCATCCCGGCCGGGTACCCGGGAGAACAAACCAGGCGCCCACCCATCCATGCAGCCTGTCAGTTAAATCGGAGCTGACTATGCTTCAGAGAGCTAAGTGAAAAAAACAACATCGCCGCCTCCTCCTCAGCCATGGTTAGCTACAGGCGAAACCGGGACACAGCCGGGTGGCAGCGACCAAAACCGAACTATCGCGCTTTCGAGGAACCAGGGTGAAACATAAGGAAACGCTTCTCATTCACTAATATCGCCATATAACAGTAAAAGGTGTGTTATTAGCAGGTGTAAACTTACATGGGCGCTGAGAGGACTGTGTTGATGACCGCTCATTTCTCCCGACTGTGGAACACTCCCACGGTGACGTCAGATAGTGTGCCTGACGTCAGAACAGCTGAGCGGCAGACAGACAACTCACACCCGTCCTCCATAATCATAGGAGGAGGAGAATAAGGGGAGGAGGAGGGTCCGTGTGTGTGTGTGTGTGTACATTAGATGTACTGGTTTCCGCTACAGTATCTTTATCTACGAAAGAACTACAAATAATACACTTATTAATATTAATGGAGCAGATAATGTATATATTATCTCTGTTTATTAATTATACTGCTTAAACTAGAGTCAGTGCGCAAGAGCATCGAAACTCGAAGTCTCTTAGCTGCATATTAATGTTTTGGCAGACTGATGTTGGAGGTGTACAGCCCAACAGACAATGAAATGAAAAAAAAATGAGGCACTGAATAGAAAAATTGGGTCTTGGTAATTTTTAGTCATTAACAACAAAGGTGTTAATGACTGATCTGAGGTGTTAATAAATTAGAGAATCTGTCAGTAACCAGCAGACTGAGGTCCACACATGGACTGGCGTACCCTCAGAGACATGTGTGTAATATATTCATAACTAACAGAAACATCACTGTTATTTACCGAGGTGGGTTTAAAATCAGCAGGGTTAATGATTTTGACTTTGGTGTCTTTGGAGTTGTGGTAAAATGTAGTTTTTGTATCTATAATTAAATAATAATATGTGTTGGGTATTTTACTGATATTTATTTGCTGCATGTGAAGATCTGGAGGTTCTGGGTTCAGTTCTGTGTTTTTGCAGTGTTATTGTGGTTGTCTGGACAACCATACAAATTCCCAACATTTTTCTGTACTGTAAAAAAAAACCTTCATACCGGCATCCTCATGGAGAGTACACTTTGGCTTGTTTAGTCTACTTGTACTACCAGGGGTCCACTTGTAGCATTTTTATCATAGTTTTTGGCTAATAAGTGCTTCTTATTAAAAGCAATGACGTAAGCTGCAGTTACTGCATCACAGACCGATATTTCTGCTGATCAAACAAGGCTGGTATTAAAAGAGGTGTGGACTGAGAATCAAGAAATACCAGCCTGGAAACATAAAAAGGTGTGGTAGTCAATATGGCTGTTTAGGTGATGACTGCAAAAAGGAACCTATGCTGAGTAGTCAGTCAGTAATCAGACTCCAAAACCCTTGACATGACGTGTAATACAATCACACAGCAGTAATATTTTATTGTTAAACTAACACTGATAACACAGTCGTATTCTGTCTCTAGATTTTGTGGAGGCCAATCTCAGTATTGCAATCAAAATATCTGGCGTGTCCAATAGTTGAGATTGAATAGCTTATTGGAATTGTTGGGGAATTAAAACTACAATCATGGAAATTGTTATATAACATAATAAACATAACATAATAAATAAAAACTATAGTAGAGTAAGTTGGTTGTGTAAAAGATAGGTAAAGTTTAATGTTGTAACAAATAAACAAAAGGGAGATTCAGAGCTCTGATTTCTCCACTATTAGCTTCCTGAGTTCATGACGTGACTAGATGCTCTTCGTGATGAAGGGCATTGTCATCGCTGCGCCTGAGGTTAACTGGAGATAAAAACCCAAGGTCAAGCTCAGTAAATGCAAGAACACGCTTGTGTTCTGCATTCAGCCTCAGTGCTTCAGCCTGACAGCCAGTGATGCACATAGTAACAGAATCAATGAATGCATCCTGCAAAGTCTGTCTAAGGGTTTGCTTCTACCACCAGACTACTTCAATGACCTCTCTTTAGGACCTAGTTGGTATCATCAGTTGTTTTTTTTATGCAATGCTTAGTTTGGGATATGTACTGGTTAATTGTGTGTCCTATTTCTCCCCTTAAGATGATCAAAATCAAGTTTAAAGAACACTGATTCTGCTATAGTTTCACACAAACCTTTTGACCAGCATATAGATAAAATACAACAAAACAGATGAAAGAAAATGTTTCTTTTTCTGTTAGGGTGCAAAAAAAAGTTGAATTACATGTGAACTATTTCGTAAACCACCACAATTTCCTGCAGAGAGCAGAATCACAGATAATCTGCAGTGAGTGTGGGAATTAACTCTTCTCTCCCTAGAATGTACGGTTCACAGCCTAGTCCCACTGTATATCTCACTTGGTCCACCTTAAGGCGGTCGATTGGTAGTTTGTTGTCGAGCAAACTGGGGGAGGCCCTCAGTGGCACATGCCTGGCTCTTTAAGGCAGACTGGGGAAGTTAAATTGTTGTTAAAGGTACATGCATACAACTGTTTACTGGCCTTTATCTAAAGCATTTCGGGTCTGAATTGGTTAACATTCGTCTAAAAATTAGTTTAACATTATTAATTTTAATATTGCTGTTGATATTAATAATATTATTAAAAGTAGTAGTAGTGGTAGTTAGTAGGAGATACTAGAATTGTTTCAGAAGCTCTGTCGATGGAGTAGTGTTGTGACTTAAGTTGAGTTAGCCTGGTAGTCAGGTGTAAGTGGTTTTTGTAGGTGTTTATTGAATTTTTTTATTTTTATCTTTCTATATGGATTGATATATAGATATGTTAAATGCACATTTGAATAATCAATATCTAAATATACATATATTCGAGGCAGACTCCTCAGTAAAACATCGGGCCACTGCATTCGAACGTAATGTATTTTTCTGTGAATGGAAATACGAGTAAACTTATAGGAGGTCCTGCTCCAGTGCTGTGTGATGGGGCAGTCGGTACGAGCACAGACAGAGCGGCAGCAGCAGTACAGCAGCAGTCTGAAGAGGAGTCCCTGTTGTGTGTGGACGGGGCCTATACTTCCGTCATTTTATATCTCACCGGATAAACACACCGGGCCCGTTTCTGACCTGTGTTTATCTGGCCTACGGTGCAGCGATACCACTCGGTGACCGTGTTGGATGAACCAGTCTCTGCACCATCAGAGCTCGGGTAACTGGATATTTGTGAATATTTCGCCCTAAAATAATCGGACGTCAGAGACCTCGCCTTATGCTGCTATTGCTACATGTTTTTAAAAATATCTAATTACATCATTATTTGCCAGGTTTAAGGTTGCTTCCAAACATAGTAAATGGTAAAGTTGATGGTGTGAAGCTGGTAGCCGTTAGACGTTTATCGGCATTTTAATTTTAAACGCGGTGCCTTGGCGGAGCGGAGAGGATTTGGTTTTATTTAAGGTAGCATGACAGGATTCGCGGCGGTGGTGCTAGCGGGCTAACCTTAGCATATCGATTAGCTTATCACTTCAGCCTCATGTTACTGCAATGAATGGGTCAATGCCGCTGTCGTTCGCAAACTAATCTCATGCTGGCGCAGGATACAATTCGTTTGACTTATTATTTGTATTCTAGCTTTTCACGAAACAGAAAAGCAAGCAAGTATTGACGCGGGTTGTAACAAAACTTCGCCTTGCTAATCAGTGTCGAGCTAGTTGGCTAACCACTAGCAGTACTGTAGTTACAGCTGTTTTAAAAAGACATCAAATGGTTCTCAATTAACTTTGTTGTCTCAATAGTGTTTGTGACATTTTAAAATAAAAATTGTTGTGTAGTTTGTCTTTGTGTTGTATTTGTGACTCTAGTAGTTTTTGCTATAACTTAACAATGCTTTACTGTAGCAGACAGCGTATTATGGATCAAAATGCACTTTGTCTTTATGCGTTGTGTTCAGGTGTTCTATTTGGGGGGAAAACAGCTGTTAAAGTGATAGGGCCGGACCAACAACAACAATATAATACAATACAATACAATACACCCCAGAGATATTAAGTAGCCTCACAGAACATCATCGGGGCGAGTCTCCTGTTTAACATGCGAAAAAAGGGCAACTAGAAAACGGGCACAAATGTATTTTAGAATTTTTTTGGATTATGGTTTTGGTTTAATAGTTTTGGAAAATTTGCTTGGCTGCTATCACATAAATGGCCCCAAAAGAAATGTCTGTCATCATTGCAATGATAGGTTCACATTACACAGTGACAAATATATATAAAAAAGCCATTGTGAAGGTATTCAATTGATGATTTTTTTTCTGCATCTGAAAATGTCCTTGTTAAACTGTTATTCCCTACCCTTCATTTCTTTCCATCTAATTCATTAGCTCTCTTTTTTTGCGGCCATCTGGTAGGCACAAATATCAGGTCAATACGAGTAGTGAAGGCTATTGAACTGAAATAATTTTTTTTTGTTTGTTTTTTAGTGCAGTACATTATATAGACAGTGATGTTTAACTTCTTGGTCTCTTCTCCTTACAGCAGAGTCACAATGAACGAGCAGGAGAGTGGAGTGGTCTCCTTTGACGAGTATGTGCGGCAGAAAGCCCGCACTGTACCACAACACAGGATGAAAGAGTTTCTGGAATGTCTTTCCAAGGGCCCGCAGGTGCTGCAGGAGTTCACCCAACAGGAGGGAGCAGTCACCACCACGGCTATGGTGTACCAGCAACAGGGTGCCAACTGTATCTACACAGACAGTACAGAGGTCGCAGGGTCACTACTGGAGCTAGCTTGTCCGGTAAATACATTTTAGTGTGGATTAATAAGTTATATATGAATCAGATATAATTATTTCCTTCCTTCATGTCACCACAACAAATCTAACTGATGTTGTGGCGTTGCTATAGATGCAGCGCTGATTGCAACTTTCTGATTGTTCATTCAAACATAGACTGTGTTGATGAAATGCATCGAGCTGTTGTTGCAGATTGAATCTACCTTTGATTCATGTAGCAGTGCCTGAAGTTTTGTTCGTTCAATTTATTAGCCATGTACATATTTCGTGACAGGTACAGGTGACCTCAGCAGAAATGTCACCCCAGCTGTCTGTTCACCAAGGGTCTGAGCAGCCACTTCAAGTTCAGGTTTACTTTTCTTACACTGTTTCAAAAAACTGAATGAGACAGATTGATAAGATCGTGATCTAACGTTTTGAAGAAAACATTAAATTATGTTGTGACGTTTGATCATATATATATGTATATATATGTGTGTTTATATATGTATATACTATATATATACTTATGTTTACTTATGTTTTGCTCTTAAGAATTGTAAAAGAGTCCAATTGGAAATAAAATCAAAATATTTAAATATGTGAAATAAATGATTCACCTTTTATTATTATTATTAATTATTATTAGAAAATGATTTATCACAGATGGAGCCACATAGACCAACTTTGTTCAATTCACTCTTTCACTGCACCTGATGCTATTGGTAATAATCATACCAGTCATAATGACTGTAATGTGCTCCATCCTAAAAGTGTCCCAAATTACACAAGTATCTAACTGATATATATGTTCCGTGTTTATGCCAGGTTCAGATCCAGGATCAGCAGAATCAAACAGTCAGTCAAGTTCTTCAGGTGGCCTCACCTTCTCAGCAGGATCTGCAGGGGATTTCTACAGCCCAGCTTGTACAGCAGGGGGAGCTCACAGAGGAGCAGCAGCAGCAGGTGATGCATTGGTTTATTTTCCCTTCAACACAGCTGTAGATATGATTGATTTCTGACATAGTTTTTTTTTTCACAGATTCAGGCTCAGTTGGTTGCAGCTGTAGCTCAAGGACAACAAATTCAGTTGCAAGGAACCCAGCATATTCAGCTGCCTGGGGGACAGCAAATCCAACTCCAGGCTGGCCAACAGATTCAACTTCATGATGGTCAACATATTCAGATTCAGGATGGCCAACAGATTCAGCTTCAGGGTGGACAGCAGATTCAGTTACCAGACGGTCAACAGATTCAACTACAGAGTGGACAGCACATCCAGCTGCAGGATGGTCAGCACATTCAACTACAGGGTGGACAGCAGATTCAGCTGCAAGGTGGTCAACAGATCCAGATCCAAACCATAGAGACCATGTCACCCACGCAGCAGCAGGACTCCTCCAGGGAGGCAGAGAGGAGATCTGGCAGCGTTTCCACCGTCCTCCAACCTGCCAAGAAGCGAAAGGTGGACGTCCCATTGGCTGTTTCTTATGCTATTCCCCAGGGACAGCAGGTAGCCACCGTTCTGGCCATTCCACAAGGGCAACAGCAAAGTTACGTGTCCCTACGGCCAGACTTGCTAACAGTTGACAGTGCTCAGCTGTACAGCGCTACAGGAACTATCACAGGTCCCACAGGTGAGACCTGGACTATTCCCGTGTACTCGGCACCACAACAGCAGGGTGTTACTCACATCGCCATACCACAGGAGACATACAGCACAGTACAAGTTACCACCTCCAACGGTAAGGACAAAATGTCCCCGAGTTCCTCATCAAAGTCTGCAGAGGTTCAGCTGACCTCTGCTGGGACGCAGGAGGAAATAGTTCAGACCCTGTTCCCAGCCCAGTTCATGAACGGCAACATTCACATCCCTGTGGCAGTACAGACAGTCGGAGGGACCTACAACACCACACAGTCGGTTCACATATGGGACCCCAACCAACAACACAGCCACGGTGAAGAGGGGCAAGAACAGCAGCTCCATCTTCAGGTAAGAACTGATTCATGATCCACGTTATCTCTGGTAACACTGGAACGTCTGTGGTTTTTGAAGTAAATCTGTATCTGTACCTGTAGAAAATTAGGATTACATGTTTAACATCAGAGCAGATTCAACAAGGTTGAAGTCATCTTCTATATATTTAACAGATTCTGTGCTCCCTACGACAAGGTTGAAGTCATCTTCTATATATTATGAATAAAGTTTTGTAAATTGAAAATTTGAAGAATCTGGAACATGGATGAGCAGTAGGAGTGTGTATGTGCAAGAATCTGACGATATGTCGACGTATCACATATTGGGCAACGATTCAATATACTGTGGTATTAAAGGCAAGACGGTATATTGAGTTTTTTTAAGCAATTTAATTGTAGGATAATTGTCGGCACAGTAAACACACAATGATGTTCCACTTTAACATCAGGTTACTCACATTGAACAGGGATTTACATTTGGAATCGCAAAATAAAATGAACCAACTGCATGAATAGTTAACTGTTGATTGTTAATTCAAAAATGGTATAATAAAAAACATACAGTGCTGTAGAATATTGATACAGTATCGTAAATCTATATACATGTATATATATATATTTCTCACACCCCAAGTGAGCACTATTTTTTTTATTGATGGCTTCTTTGTCAAGTTGCCATGTTACAGCATGTCATTTTCATTTGAAGGGTGTATTGTGGTAATTAATAATCTATTAATACCCCCCACCCCACCTCCCACCCCCGCCCTGAGGGCACAGTGTGTGTGTGATGGGAAGGTAGACAGACAGTTAATGCGTCTCCTGCTGTGAAGAAATGAGTAACTGATCTGATGGATGCTTCCATTTTTATACTTATGTCTGTTTTAACCTGTTTATTTTATACAAAGAGCAAATAATATTTATGAGAAATAAAAACAAACACATTAGGCAAAGTAACTTTTTTTTGTCTGAGATGATTGATGTGACAAAATCAAGGTTTTAAGGGTAACAGTCAGTAGTTTGGTAGCTTGGATAAAAAGGGTTAATTATCAGCAGCAGTGACTTCTACAGCAGTATATCTAATAACAGACTGTTTATGATTTGTTGTTATAGACACAAATGTAATGTAATGACCATGTCATATGTAGCAGAGATAAATCTTAGCAGCGACAGTCTCTTAAAAAAACTCTCTCTAACTGATTTTGATTTGGAAACTTTGCTTCTCATTGGTTGCAGGGCCAAGTGCAGACGGAGGCTCAGGCTGAGCAGCCGACGGAGATTCTCGTTCCTGTGTGTCTTAAACCAGAGGAGGGTCTGGAGGTGTGGAGTTTTTGGGCAAAGCGGAAAAATGCAGAGCTGAGCAAGCAGAAAAAGACGACGCTCGCTCCCATAGGACGTGAGTCTGCTCCGTTGTTAGTAAATAAACTCTGTATGGTCTTCTTCAAATCTGACAGTTATCAGTGAAAATCCTTGTGTTTGTCTCCGTCCAGGTCGGCAGCCCCTGTGTTTTCAGGAAGACCTGGTGTCCAGTGCCGTGGCTGAGTTGAACCTGGGTCTGTCCTTGATGACAACCGAAGCACGTGGAATAGAAGATGAACAGTTCTCACCTGATGTTTTGTATTATGTTTTTTTGTGTATTCAAAAGGTAACTATAAGCCCTGATGTGACAGACTTTTTGTGGTGGTTTGAATGAATTTATTTAACAGTTTCCTGTTTCAGTATCTGTCTGAAAACGGACGCGTGGATGATATCTTTTCTGACCCGTACTACACACGTTTTTGTGAGTCTTTACACAACATCCTGAATGGTTGGAAACCCACCGTCCATCCTTTAGGTAAGAGCGGGTCTGCGTGTTCTATTTCACCTAATTCAGGTAAAAGTTGTATTTATTCCCGGCGTATGTCTATCCTAGGATACATCATTCCGAGTCATGTGACGGAGGAGATGCTGTGGGAGTGTAAACAGCTCGGTGCTCATTCACCTGCCACGCTGCTCACAACGCTCATGTACTTTAACACAAAGTAGGTAGCCGTCAGGAAATGGAACACATCTGCTCTGTCCTGACAAGGATGGATCGAAGATGAACGTGAACTTTCTTCAATCTTGTCTCTTATTTGCAGGTATTTCCACCTGACAACACCCGAACAGCACCTGAAAGTAGCTTTCTCTAAGGTCCTGCGGCACACGAGGAAGAACCCCAGCAACGCCAAGGACAAGGCAACGAGTATCCGACTTCTCAAAGCCCAGAATTCACACAGTGCTGGGCAGAAAGGTGTTTAATTCAAGTGATTTTGTTTCTTTTAGCCGAAAAAATCTCGAACCCAGAAATGGTTGGTGACGACCTCTTCACTCACCTCTGTTTCAGGCACTGATGATATTTATGAAGAACAGGTCGAGGATCCAGAGAATCCACTTCGCTGTCCCATTAAACTTTATGATTTTTACCTCTTTAAATGGTAAGTAACCGGCAGAGACCAGTGATCCAGCTCAAAGAAGAACCAGAATCAGTCTGTAGAATGTTTATGGTTCTGAATTGCAATGTTTTTTTGTTACTTTACTGTAATTTTACTGGCAATGAGTCAAATTGATTTAATGTGATGGATAAGCAGTGCTATAAGTCAACGGTCCGCAAACTTTGTTGTACCAAGAACCGATAGCAGCCATTAATGTGGACCGTAAATGGCGGTCCGCAAAGAACCGGTAGCAGCCATTACTGTGGACCGTAAATTTTCTAAATAAAACATCTTTTAGACTTCCTTCTGTTAGTATCAGAGTCTGAATGACCTGTTGTTTTCAATGAAAAAAGTCCACGTACATCACTGGGTGTTAGAAAGCTCTGTTCTGTTGTATTTGCACTTGATGAATCTAATGATCTGGACACATTTACCAAACCTGATGTTTCTCTTTCAGCCCTCAGAGCATTAAAGGACGCAACGATGCCTTCTACATGACACCAGAACCAGTCGTAGCACCCAACAGCCCCATGTGGTACTCATCGCAGCCTCTTACAGTTCAACAAGTGGAGCACCTGCTGGCTCGTCTCATCGTGGTCAGAGAGATCCAGGACATCATCGCTGCTGGTCCTTAGAACACGTCAAACCCTGAGAGGACTGTCCCGGCCTTGTAAACACCACTGACTGTCTCTGATGAAACGGAACACCTTATGAATGAAACAATCATTTTTGAGGGGAGAGTTGTATCATAGTGGATCTTCAGACTCTCTTGTTGTATTTCTGTTGAACGATTGGGTGACTGTTCTTTTCTCAACGATTCTCTTGGCGACAGATTCAAGATTTCAGCTGTCCTCTGAATAAACACAGACCTGGATCGGTCTCTGGAGCTGCTGTTCTTCTCAGCTCTCAGAAAAAGTGTTACATCTTCTCAAAAACCAAGAAATCTCTCCCTCACCCGACCTGTTGGGCCGTTACCCAGATCCAGTTTTACATTACGTGTTAAAGAGACAGTTGTTGGGGCTTCACTGTCCCGGCCTCCTTTTTTTTAAATTAGCAACTGTATATGAATTCATGTATTGATATTTTCAAGACAGAAAAACTCGTGCCTGTTTTTTTTTTTTTCAGAAATTATTCAATTGAACCTTTTGGAGCAATGGGATGAATCTTAGTTCCAGGATCAAGTGCTCTAATGTTGTATGGGCAGGTGGAAAAAATGTTCCTCAGGTCCGTGCTGTTGATTAAAAAAAAAAAAAAAAACCCCGTCAATGATTTCCTCCATGTTGTTCTCCTGTGTGTATGTAAGATAAGTATTAACCATGTAGATAGAAAGCAATGCATGGACATTTGGAAACTTTGCTGTTGGCGACGTCTCACCGGCCGCCACAGTGGAGTAAATATGTTAATATGGTTGAACTACATCGACTTACACAGCTGTACCACAGTTCTGTTTCCTTTGTTTATTACTAAAACAAATGGTATGACACCGTACAGTCGTTACAGTTCTCCTCTGTGTTGATACCAAACAGTGAACCATCCCAGCTCCAGTCCTTCAGCTGTTGGTCATTTTTCATCCTTTTTATCTGGTGTTTCCAGGTACAGGTATTTCAGTGACTGTGTGAAGTATTTGGGCGGAGGACAGGTCACGGCGATTTCTTCCCGACTCGTTAACCTGATCTGTCGGGCGTGTAAGTGTAGAGGGAGATGGCGAGTCTTGCTTGGTTCCAGTCTCAGCTTTCCCAACACACCTTCAGGTAATTTCTGTGGATCAGAAGTTTTATTTTTTATCACAGTACAAAAGAATGTCTTTGTATGAAAAGCTCTAATAAAAGGAACATTTAGAAATCTGTTTTATGACATATTATGTAACTTATTTAGAGCAAAGGTGAAGAAGGTGTGGGCAGGTTAGGGTGGGGTGGGAGGAGACCAGTGTCAAGTTTGCTGTGCTACAAGAATAGCAGCAACAGAAAACAAAAGAATAAACCAAAGGAAGACAGTGAGATCTGCTATGACCACACAGTGACACGGTCTAAAAGACAAACTGCTGAGTTGGTTAAAAAAATCAGTGATCATTTTGAGGGCGAAAAAAGGAGTTCAAATCAAGTCTTAAAAAACGTTAGTAATGTATACATTATTTTAGTCTTTGTGATGAAACACACCTGTGGTGCCAGTTTCTCCTTGTGGGAATATTTATGGTCACCTAGAATAGGACATGACAGAGCTAATGCCATGTGAACCCTCATCTGGTGCGTGACTCCTGAAAATACAATAAATACAAAGAAATAATTAACTTAAAACAGGCTGTTGGTAAATAACAGAGACATTTCCTGGAGGCTCAATGTTGTCACCAGTGAGAGGTTGAAGT